TGATGTAGAGAAATTCTGGTGAGGAAACTCCCTGCTCCTGATGCAACATTTCTGCAGCTCAATAGTCTTGATTTCCAGGGTCACAGAGAGATTAAGTGATTTATCCAGAATCAGACAGCTAGTATGTATTTGAGGTTGGATTTGAACCCAGATTTTCCTTACTCCAAAGTTAGTTTTCAGTCTGCTAAGCTGACTCTAATACTTAAATTTCCTGTCTAAAATTAATTTACTGTCAATTAGAGAAGCATAACATAAATTGCACATGAAATAGGTCAGCTGTTAGTTACCTAATGTATTGATTGAGTAATGCAGGTCACTTACACCTGAATCATGCTTTGAAACCCCTTTTCTAAATATTACAGTGTATGAGAATGTCTTTTATGTTTCTATTTCAAAATATCTCCTCTGGTTTGGCCTATCAGAAATTCTTGGAGATACTCTTATTTCATGGATGGTCCATTTTTCCCCCAAAGGATTATACTTTGTTTAGCCAAATATTTTATTCTTGATTGTAAGCCTTTGTCTTTTATATTTTGGAATATCATTCCAAACTCACTTCTTCTGCAAAGTGGCAGGTGCCAAATCTTGTATGATCTTGACTTTGGCTCCTTGGTATTTGAACTCTATTTTTTGGCGATTTGGTGATTTTTTGGTGATTGGTAGATTCTTTCTCTTTCCACTTTGCTTTCTGGTTTTAAGAATTCTGGGCAGTTTTCATTTATAATTTCTTGATATACGGTAGCAAGACTTTTTTGTTGGAGAGATAGTGTCATGATTTTTCAGAAAGTTTGATAATTTTAGATTAGCTTTCTTTGACCTATTTGCCCGGTCAATTGTTATGATATTCAATTTTTTTTCTTTTTTTTACTTTGGTTTTTTTTCCACTCATTTTGTGGTTTTGTTTTAATTTTTCTTGTTTCATTGAGTCATTTTCTGTTTGATGTTTTCTAATTTTCATGGTATTTAGTTCTTAGAAAAGGTTTTCCATCATGTCTTCTAAGGGGTTGATGCCTTATTTGTTGTAAGGTTGCTCACTTCCTTGGGTTTAACACCCCACCTTGTGTCTCTGTCCTAGGTATTTCCTCATAATGTTTGTTGGATTTCTTGGTTTGTTCATATTAACTGTTTCAGGGTCTCGGTTGGGGACAGGGAGGGGGCGTGTTCTATGCTTGGGTCAGACACTGTTCTTGCACTCCTGAAGGGAATGAGCAGGCCTCACCTGATTCCATATGTGGTGAACAAGATTAGGACATTCCCCCAAGGGATTCCAGTGCTGCCCCAGCATTGGGCTTTGCCTTTCCCCTTACTGCCAAGCCCAGGGGCATACTGCCAGCACTCCTACCTAAGCTACTGTGAGGACTCCCTATCACCACATGGCTCTGGTCTTTCTCCCTGCCTTAGGTGCTGCTATAGCTTTTCCCACACTGAGTCCCTACCAGAAGACTTTGGGGTTGCCCCCAACTGTTCTTTGTTCAGGGCTCTTCTCTTGCCAGTGGGCTGGAGCGGCCCCTTCCTAGGTGGAGGCCGCACTATTCCTTTCCAGTTGCCCAAGTCTGCTTTGTACTGCTCTCTTGACCTGTCCCAGCTAGTCCATTTCAAGGTTCCAGCAGGATTTTGTCAGTGCTTCTGTGCACTCATAGGCCTGGTGCAGGACTCTGTATGTGATTCTCCTTATTTTACCAGATAATGGGACATTTTTAGTTTTGGGGAGATGTTTGTTGGGGGATCTGGGCTCCTATGGGTTACCTCACCTTCCAGTGTCTCAGTTTCCTCCTCTGCAAAATGAAGGTGTTAGACTAGATATAAGATCCCTTCCAGCTCTGAATCTCTGGACCCTTCTCATTTTCCAGCCATAGCCTCTGCCCAGACCCCCAACTTCAAGGGAAATTGGGCAAGGAGAACTCTTAACACTCTTCCAGTATATCATTTTTCTTGAAGTTAAGGAAAATGAAGCTACATACTCATTAATCTAATAATCTTTCTCTGCTTTCTGTCTCCCTTTTCTCCCCTTCTCTCTCCACCCCCCCCCACCCCAGCTTTGTTGCTTATAACTTTTGTTTCTTGTAATTTAGTCTGGTACCTTCTTCCATTTAGCTGTTTAGCTGTGTGTCAAGTTGTGGTTTGTTTTTTTTTTATGTATGTGTGTGGGTTTTCTTCCCACTCTGCTATGACTCAGTGAATGGATTTTGCTTAAGCTGCTTTCAGAAAACCCACAGCAAGAAGGAGTGCATGTCCAAGTCTCAATTTGTTACTCAAACTTAAAAGCAGAGAATTTACACCCAATAATGAAGGGAGGTGAAGAAACTTAAAAAGTTTCTGACTTATGATAGAAGCCCATACGTGTACACTTATTCCCTCTGACCCAAGTAAAATATAGGTAGCATTATGAACAAAAAATTCCTCTTGCCTCTGTGTTTGAGATCGATTCTGGGGTTTCTTTCAGGAGTACAAATTGCTGGTAGGCATGCTGTGGTGGTTGGACGTAGCAAGATTGTTGGTGCACCAATGCATGACTTGCTTCTGTGGAATAATGCCACAGTGACCACATGCCATTCAAAGACTATCCAGTTGTCTGAGGAGGTAAGATCTTCAGGGAATAGTGTATACCTAAGGTTTATCAGTGTTAGCTGTCCAAAGGTGTGCTATGTCATAAGGGTGCAGGGAATTGGATGTCACAAAGTAGCACTTGGACAGTGGCAGTTTGTTTTCTAACTATACTGAAATCCTTAGCACGGAACAGGAATAAATTCTGATGTCTTTGTAATCATAGGCAAATGTCTAAATCAAGATGTTCAGCCAGATTTTTGTATTCATAATAAGATGAGGCTAATGCTTCTGTGAACACAGATGTGTCTTGTAGAATTGAAGGAGATAAATATCAGAAATAGCTTCTCTTGGGATTTTTAGTAATGAGTCTTTGGCTCATTTGTAAGGCTTTCCTCTGAACCTCTCCCCTCAAATATCCCCAGTAAATTTCTTTCACAATGTCCCTACAAAGAACATGGTCGTATCCCTATTTTATAAATGAGGAAATTGAAACCTAAGAAACTAAGTGACTTACAAGGCTTGTCTGAGATAGCTTAGAGGAAAAGACAAGATTCCTGATGTTGCCTTCCCATCCCAATGCCCTTTCCATTTCTTGACTGTGTTTCTAGTATCAATTTCTATTTACTGCTATGATTGTTTTTGTTTTGTCCCCCCTTTTTTTGACAGGTGAATAAAGCTGATATTCTTGTGGTTGCAACTGGACAGCCTGAAATGGTGAGAGGAGAATGGATTAAACCTGGAGCTATAGTAATAGACTGTGGAATCAACTATGTTCCAGGTTGGTGCTCCACTTGCTATTTTTGGAAGTTGGGGAGGGTAAAGGAAGATCCTTTGACTCATTGGAAATAAGCCAAGAACGTACATGTTGAATGGAATGGTGATGAGTGAACTATTCTAGAACTTGTGCCATTTATGGACCTTAATGTGATGGGGAATGGGAGGGAGTAAAGATGTGATTTTTAGATGACGTTGATGAAATCTAGTCTTACTGAATAAATATACAGTGTAGCATCTAGGCTTTGTTTCAAGTCTTAAAGTGAAAGATAATCTTCTTTTCCCCTTCTAGTCTTAAATATGAGGTACAGTTATTAAATTGCTAAGAAAATTAGTCACTGTCAAGTTTTCACCATATTTAATCTCCCTCCCACTCTCTCACCATGCTTTTAAGGCAGTAACTCATAATTGATAGCTCATTTTTCCTGCAGTGCAATTACCTAATGGATTATAAAGAAATTGCTCTCCTACAACTCATCACTTTCTCTGCTTCCTGATGATATCAGAGTTTCTTCTCTTTAAGATCTTATGTCCTCTATATAACAAGATTTCACCCTTTGCCATTCTTCACCTTTATCCTTTGTGAGATGCAGAGAGATAGAATAAGAAAGTTAATAGATGATGGCTGGTTATTCTTGTAGGTTTTCATAGAATGTTTACTTGAACTTGAAGCTTTTATCTGTCTTCCCTACAATCTGCCTTTCTTAGAGAATAAATATGAATAAAACAAAAACAGCTCTTTCTTACTGTTGTTCCTCTGAGAATTGTTATTGTTAGGTTAGAACATATACACACATAGTTGTCTACAAAACTGGTTCTCCTGTTGCATGAGAAAGAATAAAAAATGTGACAGAACAATAGAGTGAATGAATCCAAAGGCTAAACTTTCCAAATGTCCTTTTGAATAGATCCTTGTCCCCTACAAAGTGATGCTCATGTCTTAGTTCTTATTTTAATTATTACTTTTAATATTAATTTATTAATTCGTTTAAATAATTAAGTTAATAGTAATTTGATTATTACTTTTGCTTTAATTATTACTTTTGTAGTATATTCAAGGGATAAAATAACATTGTCCTACCAAAAACCCAAGCGGCCTCTGCCAATTGAAAGTAGAAGAGAGCAGTTGGGTTAGTGAAAAGAATGGAGACTATGCCATATAAGGATCATCTGATGGAACTGGGAATGTGTATCCTGTAGAAGAGAAGACTTAAAGGGGATATGATGGCAATTTCCAAGTATTTGCAGGGCTATCATGTGGAAGAGGGATTAGACTTCCTATGTTTGGCTGTAAGAAGCCAAACTAGGAGTCAGGTAGAAGTTTCAGGAAGGCAAGTTTCAGTTCCATGTAGAAAAATACTTCCTGATAACTTGAGCTATCTCAAAGTAGAATGGGCACTGGTCTTCTTGCTGTGAAATGGTGAGTTTCCCCTCATTGACTAGGTCTTTAAGCAGAGGCTGGAGGACTTTTTGTTGGGGCTGCTCTAAAAGGGATTCTTCATCTTGTAGAGGCTGGATTAAAGGGCCTCTAAGGACCTCTCCAAATTTTAGAGGCTGAAATTCTGTGAAAGCTTCCACATCTTCACATTGAAAAATGGCCAATCTGGTAGTCATACCTTTCCTAAGGCAGTCAAAGAGCTGAGAGAGAGATTAGACTATCATAAAATTTAGCCATTCTGGAGGAAAATTGAGATTTGTGATTTGTACAGTAGGTTTTGGAAATTGTTGAGTGGTTGCTATGCTGGATGTTATTTATTGAAAGACTGAGAGGGCTACAGTACTTCATGAAAACAGGAAAGCAGTCTGTAAGCCCACCTTATTATTGGACTAAATCTGAGAGTACAGAAAAAGAAAAGTTTGAAGTGAATCCAAAAACTAAGCTATAGGTAGTAGTTGACTATAACATGCTACAGTTTCATTAATTGGAAATGTTACTCTGAGCCTTTTAGCTTAAGAGATCCAGGAATAAGTGTTCTTTCCCAGTTTACTGCTCAAAAACAAACAAAACTTCTCACAATCTAAAGCTTTCACAGGAAGTTCTGGCTGTTGTGAAGGTAGAGAAGCAGCAACAGCAACATCCCTTATATTTGCATGGTGTCTTATCCTTTTCAGAGCCCTTGCAATTACATTATCTTATTTAGTTCTAGAAACGCTTCTGTGAGTTTGGTAGGGGAGGTGGCATTTGCCAGCATTGCAGAGGAGGAGGCTATAAAGGCTGAGCGTGGATTAGCCATGTCAAGACACAAGACTCCTACATCAGTGCTCTTCCCAATATAGCCTTCTTCATCCCTGGAGAACTGAAAGCAAAGAAAAGTGGTGACTGAAACAAGATTACATGCAAATGTTGGAAGGCCTTGCTCACAATGGAATTCCAGATTCTGGCTCTGAACCTTGGAGCTGCAAAGTCTAGACCTTCCCCTTTCCTAGGAGAAGCAGTGAAACTGAGTGTGGGAGGTGCTTTGTGTGAGGGAGTGTATGGTGTATCCTTTGCTTTTGTTCTTCCAAATAGCTATTCTTTGCTGGTAAGATTTGTAGTTGTTCTTGGCATCCTTTTGAGGAAAGTGTAATTACATTCTTTGCCTTTTGCATACATTTATGGAGCTGCTCATCTTTGGAATTGGATGTTGGATTGTTCTTCAGCTCACGCAGGGAAGCTTAACAGAATGCTGACAGTTGCTGTAGAAACGGAATCTGGCAGCTGTGACAGGGTTCAGGCTTTGTGCACCTAAAAACTCTTTGTAGGCCGTGGTAAATTAACATTTTAAGAAGGGTTCATTATGGAACTGTTAATTGGCATAAAGAATAAAGAACAGCTTTGGTTTTCTTCAATGCCTGGTGTCAGGCAAAAGGATTTTCCTGTTAGTCTATCAAAGCCTAAGCATTTTATTGTTTTTCCATCTTTTTGTGTTTGTTTATTTTAATGATTTAGCAACTACCATTTATCTTATTCTTTTTGAAGTTGAAAATAGCAATAGCTTACCATAGCCATAGCAGATTTTTTTTTAATTTATTTTTTCTCCCCAGTTACATGTAAAAACAATTTAACATTTGTTTTTAAAACTTTGAGTTCCAAATTCTCTCCCTTCCTCTCTCCCCACCCCCCTTCATTGAGAAGGCAAGCAGTTTGAGACAGGTTATACATGTATAGTCATGCAAAACTATTATTCACGTTGTAAAAGAAAACATAGACCAAAAAACTCAAGAAAAATAAAGAAAGTTAAAAAAAAGTTCAATCTGTATTCAGGCACTATCAATTCTTTCTCTGGGGATAAATAGCATTTTTCATCATAAGTCTATCAGAGTTGTCTTGGATCATTGTGGTTATTCACAGCTGAACATCTTAAAATATTGCTGTTTCTTTGTACACAGTACATTTCACTTGGCATCAGCCCATGCAAGTCTTTCTAGGTTTTTCTGAGAGCATCCTGCTCATCATTTCTTACGGTACAATAGAATTCCATCATAATCACATTCCACAGCTTATTCAGCCATTTCCCAATTGATGGACAACCCCTCAACTTCTATTTCTTTGTCTCCATAAAAGAGCTACTATAAATATTTTTGTACATATAGGTACTTTTCCTTTTTTTTTTTATCTCTTTTGGGATACAGACCTAGTAGTGGTATTGCTAGGTCAAAGAGTATTCTTGGTTTTATAGCCCTTTAGGCATAGTTCCAAACTACTCTGCAGAATGGTTCAATCAATTCACAACTCCACCAATAGTGCATTAATGTCTCATTTTTCCCACATCCCTTCCAACATTTCTCATTTACCTTTTCTGTCCTGTTAGCCAGTCTAACAGATAGGAGGTAGTACCTGAGAATTGCTTTTAATTTGCATTTCTCCAATCAATAGTGAGTTAGAGTATTTTTTCATGTGGCTTCAGATAGCTTTGATTACTTTAGCTAAAAAATAACCATACTTTTTGATCATTTATCAATTGGGGAATGGCTCTTATTTTTATAAATTTGGTTCAGTTCTTTATATGTTTGAGAAATGAGGCCTTTACCAGAGAAACTTGCTTCAAAAAATTCTTTCACAGTTACTATTGCTAACTGTATTTCCCTCCATCCTATTCTACTGCCTACCTTTATTCTATTCTCTCTCTCCTTTCACTGCCCCTCTTCAAAAGTGTTTTGCTTCTCCCCCAATCTGCCCTCCCTTCTATCACAAACCCCCACCCCTGTCCCCTCCCACTTTCCTGTAGGGTAAGATAGATTTCTATAGCCAATTGCGCATGTATATTTCCTCTTTGAGCTATTTCTGATGAGAGTAAGGTTCACTGACTCTGCCTCACCTCCCCCCTCTTCCCCTCCACTGTAAAAGCTTTTTATTGCCTCTTTTATGTGAGATAATTTACCCCTATTCTACCTCTCTCTTTTCTGTTTCTCCCAGTATATCCCTCTCTCACCCCTTGATTTTATTTAGAAATCATCCCTTTATAGTCACACTATACATGTGCCCTCTTTCTATATATACACTCCTTCTAACTACCCTAATAATGAGAAAGGTCTTATGAGTTACAAATATCATCTTCCCATGTAGGAATGTAAACAGTTTAACCTTATGAGGCCCCTTGTGATTGCCCTTTGCTGTTTACCTTTTTATGTTTCTCCTGAGTTTTGTATTTGAAGATCAAATTTTCTATTCAGCTCTGGTCTTTTCAAGAATGCTTGAAAGTCTTCTATCTCATAGAATGTCCATTTTTTTCCCCAGAAGGATTATACTCAGTTTTGCTGGGTAGGTGATTCTTGGTTGTAATCCTAGCTCCTTTGCCCTCTGGGATATCATATTCCAAACCCTCCAATCCTTTGATGTAGAAGCTGCTAAATCTTGTGTTATCCTGACTCTGGCTCCGTGATACTTGAAATATTTCTTTTTGGCTGCTTGTAATATTTTCTCCTTGACCTAAGAACTGTGGAATTTGGCTATAATATTCCTGGCAGTTTTCCTTTTGGGATCTCTTTCAGGGGGTGATTGGTGGATTCTTTCAATTTCTATTTTACCTTCTGGTTCTTAGAATATCAGGGTAGTTTTCCTTGATAATTTCTTTAAAGATGATGTCTAGGCTCTTTTTTTTTTTTTTGATCATTGCTTTTAGGTAGTCTAATAATTTAAAAATTCTCTCTTGGATCTGTGTTGCAGGTCAGTTTTTTTTTTCCAATGAAATATTCCACATTGTCCAAAATTTTTTTGTTCTTTTGGTTTTGTTTTATCGTTTGTTGATTTCTCATAGGATCATTAGCTTCCATTTGTTCCGTTCTAATTTTTAAGAAATTATTTTCTTCAGTGAGCTTTTGGACCTCCTTTTCCATTTGGCCAATTCTGCTTTTTAAGGCATTCTTCTCCTCATTGGCTTTTTGGACCTCTTTTACTATTTGGCCTAGTCTGTTTTGTAAGGTGTTATTTTCTTCAGTATTTTTTTGTGTGTCTCCTTTACCAAGCTGTTGACTCGTTTTTTATGATTTTCTTGCATCACTCTCATTTTTCTTTCCAATTTTTCCTCTACCTCTCTTACTTGTTTTCAAAATCCTTTTTGAGCTCTTCCATGGCCTGAGACCAATTCCTATTTTTCTTAGAGCCTTTGGATGTAGGAGCTTTGACTTTGTTGTCTTCTGATTGTGTGTTTTGATCGTCCTTGTCACCAAAGTAAGATTCTGTAGATTGAGGGTTTTTCCCCCCCCACTGTTTGCTTATTTTCCCAACTAATTACTTGACTATTTACCTCTGGTAAAAGGGCTCTGCTTCCAGTGTGGAGGGTGTACTACTTCAAGGGTTTTGTGCAACTGTTTTCAGAGATACTTCTAGGGACCTGTAATTTTTCAGTTCTTCCAAGGTGGCATGATCTAAGGAGACATATTTACTACTCTCTGGGCCTCTACCAGTTGTCTTGTGGTCTGTGAGTGACCATAAACATCTTTTCTGCCCTGGAACTGTGAGGAGTGTCTCTCCTCCCCACCCCCCACACTTCTGCCACAAGCTCTGGTGTACTGATGCTCCTCTTCGTTCTGAGACTGCCACCCAGTACTGGGACCCAGATCCGAGTATGTACAAACCAACAGAGTTCTTCCTCAGTGCTAGCAAAAAGACCTTTGTAATCTTCTTCTGATCAATTGTTCTACTCTTTACCATCTGTGGGATGAGAGCTCTAGAAACAGCTGCTGTAACTGCTGATTCAATGATTTCCAAGGCCTGCTCTGGTTTGCTGTGGCTGGGCTGTGATGGCACACTTGCATTGGACTAAGCTGTCTTTAGTATCTATAGGCAGAGGGGTCTGGAAACCACTACTGCTGCCAGGGATTCAGTTGCCCCAAGGCTGCTCCGTGTTTGCTGGGGCCTGGCCTGTACTGGACTACACTCCTCTCTCACCCTGGTGCAACAGATCTTTCCTGCGAACTTTTCAAGTTGTCTTGGGCTGGAAATTTGTTTCACTGTCTTTTTGTGGGTTCTGCTGCTATAGAATTTGTTTAGAGTCATTTTTAAAGGTATTTGGAGGAGTTTAGGGGATAGCTCAGGTGAGTCCCTACCTTTACTCCACCATCTTGACTCTGTCTCCCTATCTTATTCTTTAAAGAGGAAAAGGGAATTATACCTGGTAGGACCCAAGATCTTAAGCCCACTTAAGTTTCTAGTACAAACTCTCAAATAACTGTCACTCTATCAGATACTACAGGAAACACAGCTATGAAAACATTGGATGAAGAGCTAAAAATTCATGAGAATTTGGTCTGGTTATTTCCTTTATCTGTAAGGATTTTTCTCTTTTTAAAAATTATTCTGTAGATAATGGAAAACCTAATGGAAAAAGAGTTGTGGGGGACGTGGCTTATCATGAAGCAAAAGAGAAGGCTTCCTACATCACGCCAGTTCCTGGTGGAGTTGGACCCATGACTGTGGCAATGTTAATGCAGGTACTTCCATTTGCAAAAATAAATAAATAAATAAAAAGCATTTTATGTAATAACAATCAGTACAACAGACAATAGTTGTTTGTCATATCCTTCGGTTTCAGAAATGTTTCGAGAATAGACTCAGAAGAGATAAATAAGTAAATTAGCCTGGCAGAGAAATTTATGTGGAGATGAAGATACATAAACATAGAGCTAATTATCTGTTCTAAAGGAGTAGAGCAATGGCACAGATGATCTCTAAAAATTATTTATATTTGATTTTGAAATGTTGATCGCTCACTTTCTCAACACATCCCAACCATGAATGGAGGGAGGCAGCCCAGGAGTCTGTTGGTTGGCAGTACTGAAGCCAGGCTGGAATGAAAACTTGCTGAAATTGAGGCACAATTCTTTATCGTGAGGTAATAGAAAGAACACTGAATATAGAGTCGAGAGATTTGGGTTCTTGTCTTGGTTCTTCTACTCACTCACTTTTTACCTTGGGAAAATCATTTAAGCTGTCTGGGCATCTGTTTCCTAATCTATAAAGTGAAGAAACATGGCCTCTAAGATCCTTTCCAGTTCTAAAATAATGTAATTCCAAGAATCTTGGGTCTGTCGGCCATTGAATCAAGCTAGGTGGGAGAAGAGAGTGGGGGGGGGGGGTTTATAAATATTCTTTGCCTCCTAAAATTAGGTATAGAACAAATGATTTTAGGGATAGAAGTGAGGCATCCATTATGTTATACAACTTGTACCTCTTTTTTTATCCCCTACCTAGGATAGATAAGGTGTTTTGGTCTTTTTACCAGACCCATGATTTCTTTTGAATAGGGAACTCCCAGGAAAGTAAGTCCCTCTACTGATGAAGTTTTTCAACTTTGCAGTCTTAGATTGCTGCTTGGAGAGCAACTGAGAAGTTGTAGCTATGCCATAGTCATGTTACAAGTCTGTATCCAGAAGTGAGACTTGAATTCAAGGCTTCCTGACTTGTCAGCTCTATCAGCTAAGCCATGACTGCAGTAATAACAATAGCTGACATTTATATTATACTTTAACACTTACAGTGCAGTTTGTATACATTATATCATATAATCATGAACCCTGTGAGGCAGGCATGTGGGTATGTTAACCCCTTTATGCAGTTGAAGAAACTGAGGCTCAGAGAGGTTATATGACTTAACCAGGGTCATGTAACTACTAAGTACTGGAAAAAAAATTCAGACTTAGGCCACCTCTGACTCTTAAGTTCAGTGTTCTTTCTATTACACCTGGTTGCATTTTTTTTAAGGCGTCATGGTAACTTCATAGAAATTGCCTAGTTCTATCTCTTCTATGGGCAGGTGTATTACAGATGAGGAACTTGAGGGAAAGAAGCCCAGTGACTTACCCTAGGACCCAGTGAATGACAGAATTAGAATTATAACTCAGATCTCATAACATTTACTTAGCACACTGTTAAGCTACTTGTTCTTGCTTTTTCACAGATATAGGATGTCCCAAAAAGTCTTAGTGTAGTTTTAAGCTTAATGGCTTAAAGAATATACTGGAATAGACAATAGCTAGTAAGAGTAAATAGTGATAAAAGATGATTACTGTGCAACAATTTGAACACCATTAAACGAAGCAGCATAATGAAGAACAGCATTCCAGCAGTCAGGTGACATCATTTCAAATCCCACCTCTTGACAGTTAATAGCTGTGTGACTATGACCAAGGTGCTTAACCTCTATGAGCCTCAGTTTCCTCAACTGAATAATGGGGATTATTACCTATAACACTTAGGTTTTTGTGAGGGACAAAATGAGATAATTTTTTTCATTACTACAATAGATCTACAATTTCCTCTGACAGGGTATATCACTGCCCATCCATGCCTCCCCATCTTGTTCAGTTTATACCTTTATACTTCAAGAATTTGACTCTGGAGGCCTACTTGTTTTATGATAATAGATGTAAAACAAAATACTTGTAAACATTAAAATCCTCTATGTCAGCTATCATTATTGTTGTTGTTGTTGTTATTACTCCAAGATGTCTTTCAAATTTTTTGAGTGTCATTTGCTTTTAATTTGGGCTTTCCATCATACATGTGACTATAGTATGGTATATTGGAAGATAGCATCCCTTGCCAGTTTAACAGATTGTACCATTTCATTCCATTGAGATCTTTAACTTTGTTCTGTGGGACCTTGCTTTGTAGGGTTTGTGTTATCAACTAAAATAGCTATATGGGCAAACTTTAAAAAAAAATTCTGACTGCTGCCATAAAATTACAGTATCTCACATTCAATAGATGTGTTTAGGGAAAGGTAGGACAAAGTTTTTGATCATTTAAGAGGGAATATTTTTTAAAATTTCTAATTCACAACAGAATAGAAGGAAGTTTAGAAGGGAACCTACAGTGAGGGTGATGTAAGTTAAAACTAATTTAACTTTAGTATATATTTTAAATTATGAACTTTATGTAATAGATTAATGGTTTCACATACAATCATCTTTTTTGTCCTTTGTATATGGAAATGTTCATGTTGCTGATTTTCTAGTTCCTAATTTTAAATATATGTATACTTTCTGAAAGGTATGCCAAAAAATGGAGCATCATCACTTATGAAAATCAGATAATTACTTCCTTTTGTAAGGTTATGTTAATCTTTTGTGTATGTTTTTATTTAGAGCACAGTAGAAAGTGCAAAGCATTTCCTAGAGAAATGTACACCAGGAAAATGGAACATCCAGTATAACCATCTTAGCCTCAAGACCCCTGTTCCAAGGTAATTTTACTGCTGACATTAGAACCACCTGTCCTGAATTATGTAATTAGTATATGTGTATGGTATTTCTAGAAGCAGCTTACTCTGAGGGGAAGTCTATTATTAAATTGACTGAATGAAGCACCACATAAAATTTCCTCCACATTTCTTTAAAGTGACATTGAAATATCACGTTCTTGCACACCAAAGCCCATTGGTTACCTGGCTAAAGAAATTGGCTTGCTCTCTGAAGAAGTGGAAATGTATGGTCAGACAAAAGCCAAGGTTCTGCTGTCTACCTTAGAACGCCTGAAACACCAGCCTGATGGAAAATATGTGGTCGTAACGGGGTATGTTTTTCTGATACATGTTACCAAGTTGATTGATAACTCAAAATCGAACTATAGATTTTTTCCTCTTTTTTTTATGAACTTTGTAAAATATCAACATATAGGAACATTTCATTGACTCCTTTTTTTCTGTTTTAATAGCATTCTTATTCTTCCCCGCTCTTCCCTGCATCTCCCCTGCCACTCCCAAATGAAAGCCCTTCCATTGTAAAAAAAAAATACTATGAGCAAAAGAAATTTACACGTCAATCATGTCTGAAAATATAAGCTTCATTCTTCACCTACAATCCATTACTTCTCTGCCAGAAGTTAAAAATCATGTTTAATAATCAGTCTTCTGGAGTCATTATTGATTTTTATGTTGTTCAGAGTCCTTAAAACTTTCAAAGCTGTTGTCCTTTACATTGTCATAGTCATTGTCAAAATTGTTCTGGTTCTGCTCACTGCATTCAACATTAGTTCATACAGATCTTCCCAGATTTCTCTTAATCAGCCCCTCTTGTCATTTTTTACAACTCAGTAATATTCTGTTACACTCATACATGAGAATTTGTACAGCTCCCAGTTGATAGGTCCCGGCTTTGTTTTCAAATTGATGCTCTAAATATTTTTTGTACACACAAACAATCTTTTCCTTCATTTCTTATCTCTTTGGGGTATGTGTCTAATAGTTCTTGCTACCATTTCTAATGCATACAGATTTCCTAGCCTCCTATGACATGGAGGAAGAGATGGTTTATTTTTCAAGTTAATTCGTCTGCCCTCATTTTATAGATAGTGAACTATCTCTAAGGAGATGAAGTGATTTGTAGGGTTGGGACTAGAATGTAGGTTTCTCAACTTCAGTTCAATGCTTTTTCCATTCTACTTTAGTAAGAGGAACATAGAGGTTAAATGGAAAAATGGTGATCTTTATCTAATTTGAGGCTCAACCAATTTCCTGTACTAACAGATAGACCAATGACTGTGGTTTCTGTTGTCCCCAAATAGTGTAGTGGCTACTTAGTGAAGGGTAGAAGCAAAGTAGGACATTGATTTAGTTTCATAGTTTTAGGAACTGTATCAGATCCCTAAATGGAAAATGGAAATGATGCCATCTTAGGCATTTCTTTCTCAGATTTTTTTTAAAATGGTGGAATTCTTTCATGATGACAGTGGGGTAAGGTCTCTGTGTCGGTTTTATTCTTTACACCTTTTATTCCGTATTTCTTGTACCAAAACAATTATTAAAGTTTCAGTAAAAAATTCAATGAAATCCAAGTACTGTAAATAAATTGATTTCTTTTGTTGTTGGTTTTTTTTTTCCTCGTTTTTTCATTTTTATATTAAAGAATAACCCCTACACCTCTGGGAGAAGGAAAGAGTACAACCACACTAGGGCTGGTTCAAGCTCTGGGAGCACATCTTCACCAGAATGTTTTTGCTTGTGTTCGACAACCATCTCAGGGCCCAACCTTTGGAATAAAAGGTATTCATTGGTCTTTGATACTATGGTCAGTGAGAACCTTCTCATTTCATTTGATTGGATTTTTGTTCCCTGCAGTAGAACCCTTAGATTCTGGCTAGGCCAGGTATCTTCTGATGGTTATAGGAGTTCCAATGTAATACGATTATTAACCTGCTCCAGATGTAGTTTGGGTGAGGGTTCTTGTCAGATCTTTAACAGGATTAGTCCTATTCCTCGCCTGCTGTTGCGGTCAGTACTACAAAAGGATCCTCTGGAATTCTGTTTATAGGAAGTAATAACTTATTGCTCAACGACATGACACTCATTTTATATACCTATGTGTAACATTAATGTAGTGCGTCTGAGGTGTTACAAAATACTTTCCTAATTGCACTTTTGTGAGATGGGTAATATTATTTTCTCCATTTTATAGATAAGGAAACTGAAATTCAGGCATTTGTCCATGGTCAAATGGTTAAAAGTATCCGAACAGTCATTTGAACTGTGGTCCCCCAGTCCCAAGTCCATTTATCTTTCCACTACATCCTTCTGTCTTAGTTAGTTGTTACTTATCTCTAATGAATGAAAATGAGCTCTAAGCAGGATTTGTACACTTTTCTTAAAAACTTCTCTCAACATAATTGCCATATACTTCCAATTATAATTATAAGAGCAGAACCTTTTACTTTCAGCTTTTAATTGGCTTCTAATACAACTCTTGTTAATTACTAATATAATTTCATCTTTGCTTGTATGACAATCTGTTTAATGTAGCAATTCTCATTAACACTACTCAATGCTCTTCTTAGCTTCATCTCTTAAACATTTTTTATTAGTTTATTTACCTTTCAATTCTGCCTTTACCTCATCTTAACCTTTCCTTAAAAGCATCAACTAACATAACTAGAAAAATTTGTTCTCTTCTTTTTAAGCCTTGCACCTTCCTATTTGATTTCTCAGACTCATTTGTCATCTTTTCAGTGATTAATGACTGCCCTAGCTCAGATATCCCTTCTTAGGCTAACTCCTTAGTATGTCACAATAGTTTGTCTTTCTTATTGATCCATGTTTACAACTGAGAGACCTTTGGATCTAAGCAAAAATATAGCAGTAGTAACATTTCATGAAAGAGCTTCCTATGTCAGCATATTTAGAGAGATGTTTTCTCTGTGTTTCTGTATCCCTTTCCAACATCATTATGGCATTTGTGATACTACTATTTTTAAAATTTTAACCACTTTGAGTGAATGACTTTCCAAATCTTTTATATAATTCCTTGTCTCCTTTATATTTTTAAAAATTTCTTCAGCAAGCAGTTGGCCCTGACAGCTTAATGATTATTCCTTCCCAGTGGAAGGGATCTTCTTCCATTGTCTCTGTCCATTTGCCCTTGTATTTTTGAATGAATTTTCTTTTTGTAAGTTCTGCTTTCTTTACTTCATACCAGTTCCTTTTTAAGGGGAAAAAAACATTAGTTCATTTTCTTGTGGAATTGTTTAATCTAATTGAAGAATATTAGCACTAAAAGGGAACTTGGAGAACATCTACTCTAAGATACTAATTTTACAATTGAAGAAACTGAGGACCAAATAATTAAGGAACTCTTAACTGAATGCTTGATTTTTTTATTAGGGCTTATTTAGTTTTTCTCAAAATTGGTGCCATTGGGGAACGTATTTCCAATGCTAATATTATTTTTACTTTTTATAAAGATAAAGGGCTTTATTTTAATATTCATAAATGGAAAGCAGATATAATCATGAACAGATTTGTCCAAATCATTGCCAAAAATATATAGCCAGCTGTCTTAATTGATAAGAAGTTTCAATTTCTTCTTTTTTTTTTTTTTTTTTTAATTTTTAAGAGAAATTTCAGTATAGCTGCTGATTAGATACGCTTATTTTTGACCTGACTTCTAGGTGGAGCTGCAGGAGGGGGCTATTCTCAGGTTGTTCCAATGGAAGAGGTAATTTTCATTTTTCTTGGTTTTCTAAAACTGAAGCTTTTTTATTTGGCAGGTAATCTCTTTCTGTTAGTATGTGAGCAATTTGCTACTCAGCAAAACTTCTTGAAAGGAAACACTTCTTAATTTGTCAACTTGTTGCAAACTTATTTCATTCATATGCCTGGCCTTTAAGGGTTAAGGATGTCTTTTGCCTAAACATTAATTTTTAAAAGTTTCTAAGCCAGTGAATGAACTGGATCATGAGATTGGGAAGGAGACCTTTATATATATTTATAAAATATAAGAAGATATCAACACTCAGCGAATTTTAAAATGTTGTGACTCAAACAAAGAGTAAACTAGTTCTTAAATATACATGAGTTGTGTTGAAATATAACTACCTAGTGAAATGCTAACAACAGAACTTTATTACTCACTTATGGGACATGAAAGACAAATACAGTTGAATTTTTTAAATGTTCCTGTAGCTTACCCTAACAGCAAATGTCTTTTCTGAGTTCTGGACCATGTTATTTAGGAAATGCCACATTGACCATGTTTGGGAGGGGTTCTTTATGTGGGTAGATTATTGGTAATTTTTTTTTCATTTTCACAAGTTGTATGGTTCAGTTGCCACAGACTGCGTGTTATAGAAATAATGGGAAGTTGGAAAATTGATGTGAAGAAAAAAAATTTTTTTTTTTTTAGTTCAACCTCCATCTCACTGGTGACATCCATGCCATTACTGCAGCTAATAATTTGGTTGCTGCTGCTATCGATGCCCGAATATTCCACGAACTGACACAGACAGACAAGGTACGGTAGAATATTTAGAAAATAAAACTAAAGATCACCTGAATTTGAAGTATTGTTTATATGGCTCTTGGTGGTGATAATATGCATAAGATGATGCTTTTGCCTTTAAAAGACCTATTTCTTCTTTTCTTCAAGGCTCTCTTTAATCGTTTGGTACCTTCAGTCAATGGAGTGAGGAAGTTCTCAGATATTCAAGTCCGTAGGCTGAAGGTAAATTTCCATTTTGTTTTGTGATTTGAAGGAATCATACTGGGGTAGGAAAAGGAAGTGAAGCTTCTAATGGCCTGTTGTTGAGTCAGTCATTGTCGCATCTACAACTGGGGTTCTAAAGACCTCATTTTACTTAAATGATGCTGTGACAGGGACTGGTGTAGACTGTTAATGATTTCAGCCACAAATTTCAAGCAGCCAGATCTCAGATGAAACATATATAATCTCTGTACAATCTCACCAAAAGGAGATTTTATATGCTAAGGCTAATAATGCTTTTACGCTTACAGCACTTTTCACTTTTTTCAGTGTTCTCACATCCTTTATTTTGCGTGTTTCACAACCATCTATTGCAGTGGGCGTTGTCTCAGTTTTACAAAAATAGAAATTGAGGCACAAAAAAATGAAGTGTAATACCTAAGACTGTGCATCAAACTGTAGTCAGGGCCTGCACTTAGGTCTCCTGAGCCCTAGACCCAGATTTTTTTAGGTCTCCTGAGCCCTAGACCCAGATTTTTTTCCAGTATAAAAGCAGGAGGCAACCTGATACCTCTCACTCAATTATTTGCATGCTTTTTGACAGCTCTTAGCATATCTGTCATCTGTGGTCACAGGGTCATAGATCTAGTTAGAGCTAAAAGAAACACCAGAGGCCATAAAATCTAGACTCTGATTTTAGAGATGAGGAGCCTGAGTACCAGGGACAGTTTAGTCTTCTGTCCAAGACTGCACATAGTAAACATTAGAGCCATACAGGGTCTTTGAATGAATGCCCCCTCCTAATTTAGGGATTTGATATGGATATTGGTATATCAGCAGCAAAATCCATGTGATTCCCGTGTGAGAGACTAAAGATAGGTAAAATTTATTTTTTAGATATTGTGGGCTAAAAATCAGGGAGTGTAGTTTTAACTAAGAAAGTTTAGTTCCTGTCTGCCACAAGATTGGAGCAAAGGAAAACAAATTCTTTGTTTTTCGAAACAAACAGGGGTGCCTCTTAGTCCCTCATAGCTATGAGAAGGACTCAATAGGTTGTGCAGTAGTTGAATGAAGTTGGTTTGTTGAAATGATCTCTGCCACATTAAAAAACTTGGCAAATTGCTCATACTGTCAGTATGTTGGTGTTTGGAGGCTTTGGGTGAGTGAGGTTTGTGCATGTGCGTGTGCGTGTGTGTATGTGCAGGTTGGAGAGGGAAGTGGAGCTGTGCTTTCTAGATTTTATTTACTGAATATTTTAGAAAAGAATCACAGGAGGGGGGAATGTTTTCTAAAGGAATAGATGCAAATATATAATGATCAGTAATCTGAAGTAGGTTTTTGGAGTTTAATCAAGAATAAAATTTCTGTTTTAAAAATAGTTTGTGTTTCCCAGTTGATGTTGACACCCAGTCTAATAAACAAAACTGGTCTTCTAGGGTTCATCATCATTCTACTGACTTTTCTGACTTAGAAATACTATTTTCATCTCTTAACTTTGCTTGGAAAGTATTTATTTTCCAAGGAAATAAAGATTTTATATATGTTTTTTCCTTCCCACATTTCCAGAGACTAAGAATTGAGAAAGACGACCCTGCCACCTTAACAGATGAAGAAATAAATAGATTTGTGAGATTGGATATTGATCCAGAAACCATAACCTGGCAAAGAGGTATCAGAATGATATACCATTCTAGTTTGTATTTCCATTTAAGCCAAGAAAAGTAAATGTGTGCGATTTATAATGTTCCTTTGACCTTTGTGTGAGTCACAGCCAGCATAAACATTGCTAGGCTCAAATAGCCTCTAAAGTTATGTATGTTGCCCTGATTTGACTAGTCCTTGTTAATCAGCTGTAATCAAGAAATACTTTGCTTGAATGGTTGAGTATTCTTAAATTCCAGATGTTCTGTGTGAATTGAATGAGGGTTCCCGGGAGAAATTTCATTCGTAAATATAAGATAATTATTCACCACTTTTGCTTTTTTATTTTAAAATGTTATGAATTGTTGATATAGTAAAGGTCATTTAGAAGAGAAAGGCTGGCAAGATGATATGAGAAAGCAGAGGTTTTTCTCAGAATTCAAATCTAGTATAAGTGACTTTATTTTAGTTGTAGTCTTTGTTTGCCTAATCATTTTTATCTCATTTTATTCAACTATTATTCCAAACTATGAGGTAGTCTTCAAGTCTCAGTAACTTGGTGAATGTGAATACAAAATATGCCATTTATTGGTGAGTTGCCTGACTTCTTCGTATGGCCCTAATCTTTTATGTAAAACTACCATGACCTAGAATTTTGTTTGATACATTAGCCAGTGTCCCTTTCTTCCTCCTCCTTCCCTTCCCCAGTCCCAAATAAACACCTTTTACATTTACCTAGTGGGGAAAATTTCTCTTAGTCATGACTTTTTGCAAACTTAAGCCAAAATCATTGACTTTTTATTATTGCAGTTGGCCCAGTGACTACTGCTAGGTAATGACAATTAATGTGATTGTTTTAATGTCAGAAACAACATTGGGTAGTTTTCAACTCTCTGTTAGAATAACTTTGAACAGATGGCACAATGACTCATCAAAGAATATTCTAAGGATTACTTCTGAAATTTAGTTTCCCGTTCACTTTAGTTTTCTGCTTTATGTATAATTCATACTTTCTGTCCTACAGTAGAGGTAGAGAAAGGAAAGGATTTGAACACATCATAGCGACCACCAGTCCCATTGCTGACTATATTTAATTAGGAGAAATAGTAAAATTCAGAGACACAGACCTCCTTAACCAGCTACATTGATAAACTCCATATCTTCATAGGATGTTACTGAAACTATGGTCATGAGAACTCCAGTTGCTGACACCCAATTCTTTCCAAAATGCATTCATTTTTGCCTGGTTTATGACCTGTTGTAACTTTTTATCATGGTTCCAGAAACCAGTCAACCATTATAGATTGGCAAAATAGATCTTTTACTTTGGAAAAAAGTAAACTAGTCTCAGTTTTGCATTAAATGTGTGATATATTTGAGGACATAAATGAAAACCTATTTCCTGTGAAAATATTTAATAAAAATATTTCTTAGGGGACTCAGGTCTCAATTTTTGTGAGCTGAATGAAACTTAGCATACTACCTTACTTAGCATTTTGAATTTTATTATTATTTAGATATTTCTTTCTGATTCCTTATTCCATGTTCTCTTGTGTTCCCAATAGGCCATGAACTATTGATTGGATATTATTCATTGTTTGATCATAAAATTTAAATGGTATCTTAAAGACATAACTGTTTGATTTTTTTAATATTACTTTTTCTTTGTCTTCCCCTTACTTTGGTAGTGTTAGATACCAATGACAGATTCCTAAGGAAAATCACAATTGGTCAATCACCAACTGAAAAAGGACACACACGAACGGTAACTTCTTTTTGCTTTTTCACTTCAAATAAATACACTTGCATGAATTAAGTTCTACTTTCCTTCCCTTCTGTCCCCTCCCCCACTTCATACCTACCCCTGTTTTAACAAATGCTTCTTTTGCCTTCTCACTTTTAAAATGAAAGTGAGTAGGTGTGTGTGGAAGAGAGCTCTGACAGCTTTTGCAATGAATTTCCATTTACCACCTGAAAAGTTTTTCCCAGAATATTTGCATGAAGATGGATAATCTCAAGTGAATATCTTTGCATGTCATTTGCTTATAACTAACTTTTAAAAATTAGTTGTATATTCCATCAAATTAGAGAGCTTCAGTACTTAGAGTTGAGTGGACACTGTCATTGAGTGTAACAACTCCTTATGTGGGTCTGTATTATTAGATAAGCCATAACTACTCACAGATCACTAGTGTGCTTCACTGAAATTAAGTATTCCTCTAGAAATACAGTCTCTATTGCTTGGGGCAGAGAACTAGATAGTCATCTTGGTTTTGCTGTTAACTCTTTACCTAGATATAGTTGGCTTTTTTTCCTTAATCATTATTTCCATCCCCCATAGACTCAATTTGACATCTCTGTGGCTAGTGAAATCATGGCAGTTTTGGCACTTACCAGTAGTCTAGAGGATATGAGAGAGAGATTGGGCAAGATGGTGGTGGCAAGTAGTAAGAAAGGAGAGCCGATCAGTGCCGAAGATTTGGTAAGATGCATTTTTAATTCTTGAAGTCCTAAAACATTCCATTTGTTGAGTGCATTTAACTTTTTTTCCAACATATGTTTGTTATTTCATTTTTATACTGGTAATGACTATGAAATAAATACTGTAGGTCATGTTGCTGCAGGTGAAGCTACTAGGGCTTAGCACTGTCAGGTGACTTGCTTGAGATCATCATCGTAGACAATCAAGGACAAAAGGGGGGGGCAGCTAGGTGGCGCAGTGGATACAGCTCTGACCTTGGAGTCAGGAGGACTTGAGTCCAAATCTGACCTCAGACACTTGACACTTACTAGCTGTGTGACCCTGGGCAAGTCACTTAACCCCATTGCCTCATAAAAAAAAAAAGAAAAGAAAGAAAAGAAAATCAAGGAACTTGGATTCTCTTTCTGGATTTTAGATTCGTTTTCAGCTTTGGTGGGTCCCAGTTACTTCCAACTATTACCTTATTTACTTTCAAGCTGAGACATTATGACAAATGATGAGAAGAAAAAACTTTTGTTGAAAGGTATCTAGCAATTTAACCCTTAGTCATAATGTTGGGGATTTATTCTTTGCCATTGACATTTTGATGGTGGCATTAGCAACCTTGGCATAAGTGATTAGTAGAAAAACAAATGTACTAGTTAATGATTATTATTAGCCTCATTTTCTTGAATTCTCAAGATTTTTCTGTGTTTAACTTTATGCTAAAGACAGGTAAAAAAGTGATGTAACTTCTAGATGCTTTAAACCCAAGGTAATAAAAATGATATAGAAACCAAAGAGAAATACTGATAAATGGCTATAATGGATGTAAAAAAAAAAAGTTTAAAAAGTTTTTACTTTCTCGTTTTGACAAAGTATATTAAATTATGTAGACCAAACTAGTGTTTTGGAAATATCTTTAGAATTGATACTTTGGTATTTCAATGGATCTGTGGTTTTTTCAATGTTGGAATTTCCTTCAACAGTACAGATTGCAACCATCTCATCCTGGGTGATTCTTGTCCATGTTTTCTGACAAATCTTTGACAGAATGTCTCCTCAATACCCTGTGGATCTTCTTTAGATCCCTTATCATTACATGGCTGTGAATGTAGCAGCACACTGTCTATCCATCCCTTACTCTTACTGCATGGTCAACCTCTTCTAGTCCCTACATCTTTGTCACAGTCTTCTTTCACTCCACTTTTGGTATGCAGTTCTTCATTAGTAATTTGCTGCTCTGTGGGTAATTTGAAACTTTATGTCTTTGAAGACATATCTATGATTCCGTGACTTGTAGGCATGGGATATCATGGAATATTTCTTGGTGTTAGAAAGATGGGGCTGTGTTTCAGGGTGAAACTTGGGGTCATTAAAAGCATCATATCAAGGGGCAGCTAGGTGGCGCAGTGGGTAGAGCATCAGCCTTCGCCTTCTGGATGATTATGAAATCTCGTTTAGGATCCTCCACAATGTTTTGAGATCCTTTGCAGTCAGTCAGCACAGTGTCGTTGGTGAATAGGAGCATCTGGAGAAGTTCACTGCCCATAAGAAAGTGGTATTTGAACTTCTTCTTGAAGGAATACTGGGATTCTATGAGGAAGAATTGGAGAGGGAATAAACTCCAGGCATGAGGGACAGCCACTGCAGAGAAGCTATAGGTAAGGAACAGAGAGGCCAGTTTGACTGGATCACAGAGTATAGTGTGGAGAGTCACATACAGGAGGGATGGAAAGGTAGGCTGGGGCCAGACTGCGAAGGGCTCTAAGAGCTAATTAGAGGAGTTGATATCTTAGCATGGAAGCAATAGGGAGCCATCAAGGTGTATTTAGTTAGGAGTATGATATGGTCAGATCAGCATTTAAGGGAAATTACTTCAGCAGCAATATGGAGGATGAACTGAAGTGGAGAACAACTTCAGGCAGAGAAACCAATTAGAAAGGTGTTGTAGTAACCTAGGTGAGAGGGCTAAACTGACTTGGTAGCAATGAGAAGAAAGAATAGGCCATAAGAGATGTTGTGGGATAGAAACAGCAAGATTCAGCAACTGGGTTGGATATGTGGGGGTGAGGAAGAATGAGCAGTGCAGGATAATGCCAAGAATAACTGGTTTTTATAATACCTTAAAGAGTTAGGTATAATGCCAAGACTATGAAGAGCCTGGAGAAATGGTGGTGCCTCTGACAGAAAGAAGGGAGGTTGTGGGGGAAACAATGAGTTCTGTTGTGCACATTTCCTGTGGCATTCCGTTTGAAATGTCCAGTGGTCATTTGGTGCAGATTGAAGCTTAGAGGAAAGACTAGGACTGGCAGTTTACCTGTGAGTGGTTGGGAGAGATAGATATTAGATTAATTTCAGTGATGTGGTCACTGGGGGATTGTAGAGCCTCGGAGGAAGTATGGAGGTGCTCACAGTTAGGGAGCACAATATGGAGCAAACAAAACCAGCAAATAAGACTTAGAAGGAACAGATAAGGAAGAGGAGGAGGGTGGTTAACAGTGTTGTTTGCAGCAGAGAATTCAACAAGGATGAGGATCAAGAACTGTCAGATTTGGCACCTGAGAAATCAATGATAAGTTTAGAAGAAGCAGTGTCAGTTGTGATGAGGTAGAAACCAGATGGCAAAAAATAGAGGAACCTGAGGGGAGGAAGTGGAAACAATAAATGTAGAACTTTCTCTAGGATTTGGCTGAAAACGGGAGGAGAGATAAAGGACAAAAACTTGGAGGAGGTGGTAGAATATAGTGACAGTTTTGTTAAGGATAAGAAAACTTGGACATGTTTGAAGACAGTAGGAGAAGTGGAAGATTAGGGAAAGAGGGCATGATGAAAGTTGAAATCTACTGGAGCAGCCTGAAAGGAGATGGCATCAGTGACTTATGTAGAGATTGGCTTTGGCAAGAAAATGGACTTCTTTATATGTTTGTTGGTCTTTTCCAGATGCTTATCTCATCTCTTCCCCCACTCCCCACCCCCCTCACTCCCAACTTAATGCACTTTCTACTTCCTCATGTCATTCTTCAGTGAATGTGATGTTGAGTCCAGATGTGGTGCCTTCACTGAAGAAAAGAGTTTCAAATCTGGGCAGATCTTTTCTTTTTTTCCCCCCATCTTTGCTAACCTCCCAGTTCCATCCTTAAGTACTCTTAGGATGATTTGGCAAAATTGGGTTTCTCACAAGCTTTCTATAAACTTGTTTTTCCTTCTACTGCTTCTCTTTCTTTTAGGAGATAATACTACTTATAATCTTCCAGCTGTCTTATCTAAAAGATGTTGCAAAGTAGTTTATTATAAACTATATTTTGTGATCTTTGACCTTGGCTTGGTTAGGAATTCTTCCCTCTATAACTCTGAAAGATAACTTCTACTGTTTTAATTTTTTATGACTATAATTCGTTTGTATATTCATTTCTTAATCTTGAACCCTATTTTCCAACCTCTTTTTCTGTACCCACCTTTGCATTGAAATAAATGAGCATTAAAGTATATGTTGATTTAATTTGGTGAGTCTTACAGCAAGTTCTTTTGGTGTTGCATTTTGTTTTATAGATATCTTTTGTTTTTATATCACAGTTATTAAAATGGATTAAATTCTTTTTACAGCTCCTCCACTTGTTTGCAGCACATATTTGGTAATTATCTGTGTGGTGATCTTACATATATTTTTCATGAGTACTACAATCCAGTATACTCTCCAAGTGTGCTATGACTCTTGGAGAATTTCAGGGTCACCTCCATGCTATGATGTGATATCAGAGCAGACATGAAACTGCTGCTCAAACCAATGTGAGGACAATTCCTATATCTGTAGGTATGCTTGCTGGTCACCCTTGCTTCCTGAGGCTCATTTCTCAAGGATAGATACTTTTCCAAAAGTCTACTTAAATGTTATTTTTGTCTAAGAAGCTTTCTTATTAAGAGAACAGTGGTAACTTCACATATCTAGGTTAACTTTTAAAATGGTGTGATTTATTTGAAATTACTTACTGAAATATGTATGTTTTCTGGAAGAGGGGAGTTACTAAAAGTTTATACTGTATGTCCATGCTTATAGGGAGTGAGCGGTGCTTTGACAGTGTTGATGAAGGATGCAGTCAAGCCCAATCTCATGCAGACATTAGAGGTGAGCCTGGCAGTTTTTAATCACCCACTATTTGGCTTTAGCACAGAATGAAACATACGTGAAACACACAAGTATTCTCTAAAGAGATATTCCACTAGTGTGTAGCATATTCTCCATCCCACCAGTTGATTCATATGTATTTTCTCAAGTTTTTCCACAACCCACAAAACAAAAATCAATTTGGCAAATGTGTATTAAGAAGCAACTCTGTGCAATAATCATGCTAGACACTGGGAATATGAAGACAAAAATGAAAAAGTCCCCTCCCTCAAGAAGCTTGCATTCTGTTGACATCCCCCATTTCTTTTTGTTATTCATAAAAGTTTAACAGTAAACCTTAGTAAACAGGTAGTACTAAATAGCTCCCTTTGAGAGGCAGTTTTTCCTGGTTCTCATTTAGAGTTGGTTGGGCCCTTGGACCTCTAAATAATATCTAGTCCAGACCCTTCTTCAAGCAGGCCCAGAAAGGTCTCGTGACTTGCCCCTGGTTGCCCAGGTAGCCAGTGGCAGGGCAGGGATTTAAACTGGGTCATCTGATGTTCTGTTGTAATCCAGATTCTCATCTCAAAATTAAGGTTAGAACTATATCTCATTTCTATCTCTTAATATTCACAGGGGACCCCAGTGTTTGTTCACGCTGGACCATTTGCCAATATTGCACATGGAAACTCCTCAATCATAGCCGACAGGATCGCACTGAAGCTCGTTGGCCCTGAAGGGTTTGTAGGTAAGAGTTTAATTTTCAGAATAGAAAAGGTAAATCACCCTATGTTATAAACTAAGCAACAGTGGAAAAGGGTTGGGTTTTCTCTTGCCTTTTTGCAGTGACTGAAGCAGGATTTGGAGCAGACATCGGAATGGAAAAGTTTTTTAACATCAAATGCCGATATTCTGGTCTCCGTCCTCATGTGGTGGTACTTGTTGCCACTATTAGAGCTCTCAAAATGCACGGAGGAGGCCCAACAGTAAGTACTAAGATCCAGTGACATTTATTATAAATGGGTCATTCATGTAGCAAACACTTAAGTACCTACTATGCGAAGAGTACTGGGTTAATAAGCGCTGCAGGTGAAGCACCATACTTGGGCATCATTGTAAGATAAAGCAGTGAGAGGGCTAGTGCCTATTTTTGTTTGGATGTTTTCTTACCAGGCCCTCATGATGAATGATCGCTTTGTGAAAGAGAGAGAGAGAGAGAGAGAGAGAGAGAGAGAGAGAGAGAGAGTGTGTGTGTGTGTGTGTGTGTGTGTGTGTGTGTGTGTGTGTGTGTG